CCTCGCTCTTTCTGAATCTCTCATCTGCAACGCTTCAATGAAGGGCGCCAGGCGTGGTCTCGTGATCTGCAACTTGATTCGCTTCTTGTGTCCGTTTCTTATGTCTCATTTATCCTCTAATTTGTATCGTTTCTTCAGCTGTCCTCAACTCTCGTCCCTACGTCTCTCGCGCGGACAGCCTGCAAGACGCCTACCAGGTTGAGCGGAATTACCGTGCGCCCCGTCGCCAAATCGCCGCTGCCCCTCCCACGGCAAGCTCGGAAAAGCTGATACGGTCACGCCAACACGCGCGGCGAGGCTGCCAGAGGAAACACCACCCGGTTGACGCGTGCACAGGGACATCTAGACGCACTCAACGAACGCACTCAACGAACGCGCCCACGGCGGAGACGGCCAATCATTGGAGGCTGCGCTAGGAAAGCTCAAGTGCGAAAGGAAGCATGGTCGGATGGAGGCGAGGAGTAGCAAACAGAGTAAGCACTCCGGTTCATTACCCTCTACCGTCACCCGTACCCTCGCGTTATGCGCCCCGCTCTCGTACATTGTGCACCGCGAAGTTCATATTGCCGACCGACAGACTTCCCAGCGCGAACCGAGCTGCAGCTCAGCCTCTCCTCGTATCCTCACCTCAGCGCCTTCCCTGCTGGTCCGTGCCCCCGTGCATACCTCACCTAACCTTTACGCCCATGTCCGGCACTGCCGCCGGTACCAGCAGCAAGTTGCAGCAAGACTTGCGCCACTGGACTCGCTGGCTGGAATCACTGGCGAGACTGTCCGCGCCTCGCATGACACTGCCAGTCTCGGCGGACCGCCACGAGAGCATCCAGGCGCAGTCAATCATCTCTTCTCTGTGGCCTCCCTGGCGATCTAACTCAACAGGGGTCTGCGGAAGATGCTCGGCTGCTCCCCACCTCTGGACCGTTCACGCTACACCACCCGCCGACCCGACTGCCTTCCCAAATGCACTCTCCATTTGACAACTCACTTGGCTGCTACGAACATCTGTCCTGTCTGCTCGTGATCGCGCTAGCAATCCCGATCTCTCAACTGCCCGTAATCGTCATCCCTCGTGCGCCGTCAGCCCGTCCCAGATAGCTATTTGCGCGTGCATTCGGTAAGTTGGCAACAGGCCTGCGCCCTCTCGCTGCGATCGATCGACGGAGATCAGCTGCTGCTCGACGAGCATGAGCGACCGTGCCTAATCGCGGGTCTGATCACTCACTCACTTTGGCTCACTCAGACACACTGTGGCCACCGCCTTGCCTTCGCTCGCCCACGCGTCCGTGCGGATTGCCACGCCTCCGTGCGGATTGCCGCGGAACCATTGTGCGCCGGTGCATAGTCCTGTTGCCTACTCGGCGGGTCTGATTGCTCCCTCACTTTGGCTCACTCAGACGCACTGTGGCCTCCGCCTTGCCTTCGCTCGCCCACGCCTCCGTGCGGATTGCCGCGGAAGCATTGTGCGCCCGTGCGCCGGTGAGTGGTCCGGTTGCCGTGTCTTAACGCGTAGCGAACACAATAGGTAAGGCCATCATTGACTGCTGGTGGTGGGCGGATGATAGCTTGTACAGTAGCAGAAAATAGTGTAGTTGATCGTCGGAAGAATATGCTTGCATTATGCTTGTGTTCGTGTGCCTCAAGATTACTTCATCGTTCTGTTCCAGCGAATGTTTTGCGGCAAATGAATTCTTAAATCTTGAGGTAAGTAAGGTTCTTGAAGCTGGGACCTCGCAGCCTGCACGTCAAGTTTCGTAAGGCTTACGTAGATCAACTGTGTAGTTTCTATTCAGCGCTAACAACACCGCGTCTCCGAAGGCTTCCAGAACTTCAACCAGCCGCGAATCTCATGTGCTCATGCCTGCGCAGTGCGGTCCCATGCTCGTGCCCTTGGCTTCCATCATCCTCCGACCAGGCTCGCACTACTGCTACGACCAGCGGAAGACTTCCAGAACCTCATCCCGCGGTGAGTCAGAGTCCGCTCACACGGTGCGTCAGAGTCCGCTCACACGGTGCGTTATCTGATACCTATTTTCACCGTTCAACACTCAGCTCTCGCTCCCAGTGAATGTACTGCACCTCTGAATGGCTACCCGACAGTCTCTCCGCAATGCCGCACGCCAGTCTGGCGGCCAGCCGACCACGAAGGCTAAGACTGGTCGGGCTGCTGCCAAGTCAGCGCCGGCTGCTAAGAAGGCAACCGCCACGAAAGCCTTATCGAAGGGTGCGCGGGCTCCAAGCGCAGCAGGCTGGAAACACCAGAGAGAGATGGCCAGACCTCTCAGCCCGACGTTCTGTCCCCGTCCGAGAAGCGGACGTATGACAGGCTGAAAGCGAAGATGGAGCAGGCCGAGAAGCAGGCGGCCGCCGAACGTCGAGCCAGTGAGTGCCCAATTCACATGGGTTGGGATGGACGAAACAGAACTAATGGCTGAACTGACGATAGACATTCATAAAACAAGCACCGCTATGTTGCTCGCTGAGAATGCGTCTGGCGGAGAGGACGACGAGGACGAGGATGAGCAACCGAGGCGTAAGAAGCTGAAGAAGAACAAGGAGATCAGGTCCAGCGATGATGAAGAACAGGACGAGCTTGTCGAAGAGGAGGAGGAGGAGCAATGCAAGTGGAGCCCGAGAGACAGAGATGGACGCTGCGCCTCCGCGCGGTGAGTCCGATACTAGCTGACATCTCCGGCAACTACTAATGCAGCTCGATCGCAAGCCAAACCTAAACCAAGGCCTGCGTATGGCAAGAAATCGACGGACAAACCTGAGGTTGAGGATGATCCAGACGACGGGACGCGGCCGACGCTCGACCCAGACGAGCGTAGCCTTGCGAGGGCTCTCGGTACGTGGGTATTCCGTTAGACGGTCAGCTAATCTGTGACTCATATCGTAGGTGAGAATCGCTCGTCCTCGGCGAAGGGAAACAAAGCTTCAAAGGCGAAGCAGCGGAACAACCGGGATGACCGGGACAGTGCGTCCGATGACGGCGAAGAGCGTCGACCTGCTGTCACACAGCCGGCCAAAGGCAAGAAGGTGTTGCGCATGGACGCTGTCGTAATTGACTCACCTCCAAAAAGGGTCAAGGTGCGCATTGATCTCAGTAGATACTTATTTTGACGTAGATTATGCAGAACGTGGTCGACAAGAACAAGGGCAAGGGTACAACGATCGAGAAGAAGAAGAAGCCGAAGAAGCGGAGCGACTGGTTGGACACCGACACCGAGTCGGAGAACGAGACGGGGACAGAGGTGGACGAGGTGGAAGAAGACGACGAGCTCAGCAGTGACAGCGACGAGGTGTCGGAGGAAAGCAGCGAGGACGAAGGGACGGACGAGGACAGTGGGGATGACGTGATAGTAAGTCAACTGTCCCAAGTCCATCGCTCTAACCGCCATGTTCTGCAGGTTGTCAAGGCCCCTAAGGGCAAGACCCAGCGTTCCAAAGGCAAGGGAGGCAGACGCAGCCGCGGCAGCGCGGACAGGCCAAAGTCTGAAGGTCGTCGCCGTGCGCAGGCCAGGGACATCCCGGAGACCCTCAGGCCGGTCGTTACGTGCTCACAGATGTATCTCCGCCTCCGCCTCTCCCTCAATCATGCATGGACCGCCGAGAAGATGCAGAATAGCAGCCAGCTCCCCGACAAACACAGGGTCATCAAGAGAGCCCTGAGGGATGCTCGCAAACATCGCGCCGAGGACGGTAAGAAGATAGCGTACCTTGTCAGTGGGTTCAAGACCCTGAGAGCGAAAGGCAACAACAACCTTCGCAAGATGGTCGCCAGCGTTGTAAGTACGTCGGTTCAAATCACACCATACAATCTTAGTCTCTTTTTGCAGGTATGGACGGGCGCGTCTCAGCTCCGAAACGAGGTCAAGAAGAAGGCGAAGACCGTCGTCGACAACGCTTACGGCCTCGGCAGCCTCTCGACGCAGCGGAGAGTCGCGGCTGCAACGTTCCTCCTCAAGTCCAACACACAGGGCAAGTACTCGATGCAAAACTTCATTTTCGGCGACATCGACATCGCCTGGCAGTCGGACGAACCTCATGAGGTCGACATGAAGGTATGTCAGTAGCTAACTACTGTTGATGTGTGCACTTGAAGTGACCCACAGGCGAGCGTTGTGAACCGCAAGAAACCGTTCCAGCACAGGGCGCTGTCCGACGTCATTGTGCAGCACTGGTTCCACGGACACAGGGACACTGCGTCGGTCGCGGCGTACGATCGCTTCAGTGAGGTTCCCGACAATCTCATAGCCATCGTCTGCAACGCGGTAAGCGGTGTTCACCTTCGTGCGCAAATAATTGAACAATGTTTCCTAGATTGAGGCGGCGTTGGTGGACATAGCCACAGGGACTCATCAATTCTCTAACAAGCTGTACGCTCCTAAGTGAGTTATATCTCCGTCTAGCTGTGTTTATACCTGATGCGTGCATAGGTGGGGCAATGTCATGGGGATCTTGGATCAGTTCAAGCACAACGCACCGGCGGCATACCAGTTGCTGAAGGAGATGATCTGGACCAATGTCAGGTAAGTTTATATTCTGGCTACGGTCAATAAATGTGTATCTAACTGTTGCTCCAGTGCCCTAGTCGACGAACACAAAGCCCCGAAGAAGGACGCGCAAGATGATGACGACGCCGGTAGCAGCATTGGCGAGCAATTCATCGCTTGGAGTGATATCGAGGTCGGCGACACTACTGCGACAACAAAGGCTGCGAAGGCTGCCGCGAAGCCGTCGTCTTCGTCTGCGAAGGCCGCCACGAAGCCGTCGTCTTCGTCTGCGAAGGCCGCCACGAAGCCGTCGTCTTCGTCGTCGACAAGGCAGACCGGCAGTAAGTTTGTCAGATCAATTCATGAGTACCTAACAACAACACACATGTAGATCGTCGTGCAGCAGTTGAGCCGGAGATCGACGCTGAAGGTTCTGCTCCTCATGACGGTGAGTTCATCTGTACCTGAAATACAGGGCCAAACTGATCAACATTTGTGCGCTGATTTATCCAGAAGAAGGTCCCCAAGACCCCTCCGATGATGCGTGAGCCCCAGCATCTGCGTACCTCAACCAATGCCCATTTCCTCGGTGAGCATGCTTTGCATTCATTATTCTAGATTCAAGAACGTTGCCTGACCAGTCTTTAGAATATCTACTACTGGTACAACTGCATGGAACAGGGTTGGGGCTATCTATGTAGATCAGTGTTATGTCATCTGTCGCCCTGTCGCGCTCCGTCGTGCTTTGTATAATTTTTCGTCAAAGTGTAACAACTTCTCACCTGTTTAATGATAACGCGGTTTCAATTCCGATTGATTTGTATTGATTGTGGAAAGTACCACAAGACTCAAATGCTTTTGAAAGCCATGGGTACCCTGATATGTACCTACAAGATCCATGCGTCCTGGCTAGCAAGCAGTGTCATATATGACATGCAAGGTCAGCAAGGCTTAGAATGTCTGCCTGCATCAACATACTGAAAGCACAAAGTAAATCTTATATTTAAGTACTGGCTGTCCTGTCCAAGCACATAAAGCAGAGACTTGTCTTGCCAAGAGTCGTGCTGTCTGCAAGCCATGACGGTCCTAATACACTTGTCAAGACAAGTGAGTTTTTCCTGATGGAAATGGGCATTGGTTGAGGTACGCAGATGCTGGGGCTCACGCATCATCGGAGGGGTCTTGGGGACCTTCTTCTGGATAAATCAGCGCACAAATGTTGATCAGTTTGGCCCTGTATTTCAGGTACAGATGAACTCACCGTCATGAGGAGCAGAACCTTCAGCGTCGATCTCCGGCTCAACTGCTGCACGACGATCTACATGTGTGTTGTTGTTAGGTACTCATGAATTGATCTGACAAACTTACTGCCGGTCTGCCTTGTCGACGACGAAGACGACGGCTTCGTGGCGGCCTTCGCAGACGAAGACGACGGCTTCGTGGCGGCCTTCGCAGACGAAGACGACGGCTTCGCGGCAGCCTTCGCAGCCTTTGTTGTCGCAGTAGTGTCGCCGACCTCGATATCACTCCAAGCGATGAATTGCTCGCCAATGCTGCTACCGGCGTCGTCATCATCTTGCGCGTCCTTCTTCGGGGCTTTGTGTTCGTCGACTAGGGCACTGGAGCAACAGTTAGATACACATTTATTGACCGTAGCCAGAATATAAACTTACCTGACATTGGTCCAGATCATCTCCTTCAGCAACTGGTATGCCGCCGGTGCGTTGTGCTTGAACTGATCCAAGATCCCCATGACATTGCCCCACCTATGCACGCATCAGGTATAAACACAGCTAGACGGAGATATAACTCACTTAGGAGCGTACAGCTTGTTAGAGAATTGATGAGTCCCTGTGGCTATGTCCACCAACGCCGCCTCAATCTAGGAAACATTGTTCAATTATTTGCGCACGAAGGTGAACACCGCTTACCGCGTTGCAGACGATGGCTATGAGATTGTCGGGAACCTCACTGAAGCGATCGTACGCCGCGACCGACGCAGTGTCCCTGTGTCCGTGGAACCAGTGCTGCACAATGACGTCGGACAGCGCCCTGTGCTGGAACGGTTTCTTGCGGTTCACAACGCTCGCCTGTGGGTCACTTCAAGTGCACACATCAACAGTAGTTAGCTACTGACATACCTTCATGTCGACCTCATGAGGTTCGTCCGACTGCCAGGCGATGTCGATGTCGCCGAAAATGAAGTTTTGCATCGAGTACTTGCCCTGTGTGTTGGACTTGAGGAGGAACGTTGCAGCCGCGACTCTCCGCTGCGTCGAGAGGCTGCCGAGGCCGTAAGCGTTGTCGACGACGGTCTTCGCCTTCTTCTTGACCTCGTTTCGGAGCTGAGACGCGCCCGTCCATACCTGCAAAAAGAGACTAAGATTGTATGGTGTGATTTGAACCGACGTACTTACAACGCTGGCGACCATCTTGCGAAGGTTGTTGTTGCCTTTCGCTCTCAGGGTCTTGAACCCACTGACAAGGTACGCTATCTTCTTACCGTCCTCGGCGCGATGTTTGCGAGCATCCCTCAGGGCTCTCTTGATGACCCTGTGTTTGTCGGGGAGCTGGCTGCTATTCTGCATCTTCTCGGCGGTCCATGCATGATTGAGGGAGAGGCGGAGGCGGAGATACATCTGTGAGCACGTAACGACCGGCCTGAGGGTCTCCGGGATGTCCCTGGCCTGCGCACGGCGACGACCTTCAGACTTTGGCCTGTCCGCGCTGCCGCGGCTGCGTCTGCCTCCCTTGCCTTTGGAACGCTGGGTCTTGCCCTTAGGGGCCTTGACAACCTGCAGAACATGGCGGTTAGAGCGATGGACTTGGGACAGTTGACTTACTATCACGTCATCCCCACTGTCCTCGTCCGTCCCTTCGTCCTCGCTGCTTTCCTCCGACACCTCGTCGCTGTCACTGCTGAGCTCGTCGTCTTCTTCCACCTCGTCCACCTCTGTCCCCATCTCGTTCTCCGACTCGGTGTCAGTGTCCAACCAGTCCCTTCGTCCTCGCTGCTTTCCTCCGACACCTCGTCGCTGTCACTGCTGAGCTCATCGTCTTCTTCCACCTCGTCCACCTCTGTCCCCATCTCGTTCTCCGACTCGGTGTCGGTGTCCAACCAGTCGCTCCGCTGCTTCGGCTTCTTCTTCTTCTCGATCGTTGTACCCTTGCCCTTGTTCTTGTCGACCACGTTCTGCATAATCTACGTCAAAATAAGTATCTACTGAGATCAATGCGCACCTTGACCCTTTTTGGAGGTGAGTCAATTACGACAGCGTCCATGCGCAACACCTTCTTGCCTTTGGCCGGCTGTGTGACAGCAGGTCGACGCTCTTCGCCGTCATTGGACGCACTGTCCCGGTCATCCCTGTTGTTCCGCTGCTTCGCCTTTGAAGCTTTGTTTCCCTTCGCCGAGGACGAGCGATTCTCACCTACGATATGAGTCACAGATTAGCTGACCGTCTAACGGAATACCCACGTACCGAGAGCCCTCGCAAGGCTACGCTCGTCTGGGTCGAGCGTCGGCCGCGTCCCGTCGTCTGGATCATCCTCAACCTCAGGTTTGTCCGTCGATTTCTTGCCATACGCAGGCCTTGGTTTAGGTTTGGCTTGCGATCGAGCTGCATTAGTAGTTGCCAGAGATGTCAGCTAGTATCGGACTCACCGCGCGGAGGCGCAGCGTCCATCTCTGTCTCCTCGGGCTCCACTTGCATTGCCTCCTCCTCCTCCTCGGACCTGATCTCCTTGTTCTTCTTCAGCTTCTTACGCCTCGGTTGCTCATCCTCGTCCTCGTCGTCCTCTCCGCCAGACGCATTCTCAGCGAGCAACATAGCGGTGCTTGTTTTATGAATGTCTATCGTCAGTTCAGCCATTAGTTCTGTTTCGTCCATCCCAACCCATGTGAATTGGGCACTCACTGGCTCGACGTTCGGCGGCCGCCTGCTTCTCGGCCTGCTCCATCTTCGCTTTCAGCCTGTCATACGTCCGCTTCTCGGACGGGGACAGAACGTCGGGCTGAGAGGTCTGGCCATCTCTCTCTGGTGTTTCCAGCCTGCTGCGCTTGGAGCCCGCGGCACCCTTCAATAAGGCTTTCGTGGCGGTTGCCTTCTTAGCAGCCGGCGCTGACTTGGCAGCAGCCCGACCAGTCTTAGCCTTCGTGGTCGGCTGGCCGCCAGACTGGCGTGCGGCATTGCGGAGAGACTGTCGGGTAGCCATTCAGAGGTGCAGTACATTCACTGGGAGCGAGAGCTGAGTGTTGAACGGTGAAAATAGGTATCAGATAACGCACCGTGTGAGCGGACTCTGACGCACCGTGTGAGCGGACTCTGACTCACCGCGGGATGAGGTTCTGGAAGTCTTCCGCTGGTCGTAGCAGTAGTGCGAGCCTGGTCGGAGGATGATGGAAGCCAAGGGCACGAGCATGGGACCGCACTGCGCAGGCATGAGCACATGAGATTCGCGGCTGGTTGAAGTTCTGGAAGCCTTCGGAGACGCGGTGTTGTTAGCGCTGAATAGAAACTACACAGTTGATCTACGTAAGCCTTACGAAACTTGACGTGCAGGCTGCGAGGTCCCAGCTTCAAGAACCTTACTTACCTCAAGATTTAAGAATTCATTTGCCGCAAAACATTCGCTGGAACAGAACGATGAAGTAATCTTGAGGCACCACGAACACAAGCATAATGCAAGCATATTCTTCCGACGATCAACTACACTATTTTCTGCTACTGTACAAGCTATCATCCGCCCACCACCAGCAGTCAATGATGGCCTTACCTATTGTGTTCGCTACGCGTTAAGACACGGCAACCGGACCACTCACCGGCGCACGGGCGCACAATGCTTCCGCGGCAATCCGCACGGAGGCGTGGGCGAGCGAAGGCAAGGCGGAGGCCACAGTGCGTCTGAGTGAGCCAAAGTGAGGGAGCAATCAGACCCGCCGAGTAGGCAACAGGACTATGCACCGGCGCACAATGGTTCCGCGGCAATCCGCACGGAGGCGTGGCAATCCGCACGGACGCGTGGGCGAGCGAAGGCAAGGCGGTGGCCACAGTGTGTCTGAGTGAGCCAAAGTGAGTGAGTGATCAGACCCGCCGATTAGGCACGGTCGCTCATGCTCGTCGAGCAGCAGCTGATCTCCGTCGATCGATCGCAGCGAGAGGGCGCAGGCCTGTTGCCAACTTACCGAATGGCACGCGCAAATAGCTATCTGGGACGGGCTGACGGCGCACGAGGGATGACGATTACGGGCAGTTGAGAGATCGGGATTGCTAGCGCGATCACGAGCAGACAGGACAGATGTTCGTAGCAGCCAAGTGAGTTGTCAAATGGAGAGTGCATTTGGGAAGGCAGTCGGGTCGGCGGGTGGTGTAGCGTGAACGGTCCAGAGGTGGGGAGCAGCCGAGCATCTTCCGCAGACCCCTGTTGAGTTAGATCGCCAGGGAGGCCCACAGAGAAGAGATGATTGACTGCGCCTGGATGCTCTCGTGGCGGTCCGCCGAGACTGGCAGTGTCATGCGAGGCGCGGACAGTCTCGCCAGTGATTCCAGCCAGCGAGTCCAGTGGCGCAAGTCTTGCTGCAACTTGCTGCTGGTACCGGCGGCAGTGCCGGACATGGGCGTAAAGGTTAGGTGAGGTATGCACGGGGGCACGGACCAGCAGGGAAGGCGCTGAGGTGAGGATACGAGGAGAGGCTGAGCTGCAGCTCGCGTTCGCGCTGGGAAGTCTGTCGGTCGGCATATAGCAACTTCGCGGTGCACAATGTACGAGAGCGGGGGCGCATAACGCGAGGGTACGGGTGACGGTAGAGGGTAATGAACCGGAGTGCTTACTCTGTTTGCTACTCCTCGCGCCTCCATCCGACCATGCTTCCTTTCGCACTTGAGCTTTCCTAGCGCAGCCCTCCACATGATTGGCCCGTCTCCGCCGTGGGCGCGTTCGTTGAGTGCGTTCGTTGAGTGCGTCTAGATGTCCCTGTGCACGCGTCAACCGGGTGGTGTTTCCTCTGGCAGCCTCGCCGCGCGTGTTGGCGTGACCGTATCAGCTTTTCCGAGCTTGCCGTGGGAGGGGCAGCGGCGATTTGGCGACGGGGCGCACGGTAATTCCGCTCAACCTGGTAGGCGTCTTGCAGGCTGTCCGCGCGAGAGACGTAGGGACGAGAGTTGAGGACAGCTGAAGAAACGATACAAATTAGAGGATAAATGAGACATAAGAAACGGACACAAGAAGCGAATCAAGTTGCAGATCACGAGACCACGCCTGGCGCCCTTCATTGAAGCGTTGCAGATGAGAGATTCAGAAAGAGCGAGGCACAGCGAAAGATGGTGGTCTTTGCAAGTACTCATTGTTGAATTAGTAGTCCACGTATTAGAATTACTACAAAAATGTGTCTATCTGAAGTGATTGCTGGAAACCCAGCCATTACGATCGTCTGCAGTCCATTTACACATCTCCCGGTCTGATTGTAAAACGATGGATGCATGAGTGCCAGTATAATGCATGTTAAAATGTGTGAAGTCGCAGGAAGGAAAGACGGCAAATTCACCGTGTCGAAGTGGAATGATGAGGCCTGGCTCCACAAGACACAACTCACCGCCGTCAAATTCACCAATTGGCAAGACAAGGCATACACCGTCATCTTTGCTGTCTCTGTGGGCTCGAGTGACAACGTTGAGGTTGACCACTAGTCCGACGAACGGGCTGACCACCGAGACGTTATTACCAGGTAGAATAGCGGCCATAGCTTCAAGCCGTTCGTATTCCCCTGGCAAGAACATTTGAAGCTAAAATCGTATATGTTACCCACACACATTGTGATTCAAGATTGCATTGCTTACCTGGTCATCTATCCAACCGAACACGTCTGCGAAGACACTTTTGAGGGACTGGTAGACTGTCTGGTGGTCTTCCATGTCCCTCGACATGTACAGTAAAAATTGACCATGGTTGGTTTGAGTACAACCCGCTCTGCTCAGCAGAGCGGGAGGGATGTCCGCAGGCGCAGAATGTCCCTGTCGAAGAGTTGTCATGAGCGACCAGCTGCAGATCACTGAGGTACATACCTGTGTACAGTGACGGTTGTACCATGAGAAATGGATCGCTTCAAATGTTCGTTTGCCGGTCGCTGAGTTTGCGTCTGCAGTCTTGAAAGGGTCTGAATTGAAGCTTGCAAGGAGACGGTCGATTAGAGTCCGTTTCATGGTATCCGGCATCGACGTGCAGATGCTGGCAACCAACGAGTGATCCACGCCTCGAATGGTTAGGACATCCCTGCTAGAGACGGTGAGTTATTGCACAACAAACACGAGAATGTTACGCACACTATCGTGTTCGTTGGCACGCGAATGTAAGCCTCAGGATGGGCTCTCTCCCCGCCTGTGTACGCAGTTTGAAGCTTGGGTAAATATTCTGCAGTTAGCCACGTCCAAGGGAATATCTGTGTTGGACACTATACCTGAGCGTCGAAATCTTGTAGACTTACTGGTGCACTCGCTTTGCTAGCGAGTGAACGCGCGTTCTCTGTCCACGCTATGTTCTGCTCCTTGTCACGGGGGGCGGGATACCGTCTGTTTGTGTCGGTTTGAGCGTCATAGGACGTGAGAATGAGTTGGCCGTGTGGCGATGGAACAGGTTCCGGGGCGCAACTACTATGACGAGAGAGCGGAGATGGTAGCGTCTGCGCCGGAGACAGAGACGATAGAGATGATAAGGGAGACAGAGGAGGAAGGGGAGAGTGTGATGGTGGCCCATCCAGTCTGTCATCCACCGGTTGCAGGGTTTGCACTGACGACGTTGCAACGGCAGGTGAATCGACCAGGACGGCTTGATTGCAAGGCTCCCAAGCAGTATGCATCCTTGGAACAAGTTTGAACGAACTGTAAGAGTTGTGAGCATATGAATGTTAACTTACACTGCTCGGATAGCGACTTACTTGAACTTGAGAGTGTCAAAAAACACATCGTTGCGATCCAGGACAAGGGTAGAGGTCGGTCGGCCTGTCTTAGACATTGGGAATAGGTCTTCAAACATCGTCGGGTAGTGCTTTTGTACGAGTGATACAGTTGGGATCACCGTGTCCTTCACCATTCGTCCCGTCCGTGAGTCTGTGTGCTTATTAGTCGACCGCTCTTCTCAGGCTGAAGATGCTTACCATCCGGCCATCGTAGCATGTTGCCTATGTCCTGGGCGGAATGGCCATCAATCGCGCCCAAAGGAACCCTGAGGTTCTGGATGGCGATCATGACTAGTAGATACACTGAGCCTGGCCGATTCATTCTTGTTTAGCACTCATCTAAGACGTTTCTACCGGACTTACCTCCTCCCGCCACGAATGCAAATTTGCTACCCATTGCAATCCAGTCAAGGAATGTTCTCTTCGCGACGGTCTTCTTTTCCTCCAGCTCCGCTTGCCAAATGTCGGTATTGGTGAGGCCGGGTTCAGCCTGTCTCAAGCTTGCAAAAGGACATTGGTAAGCTCATCAACAAAGAAACAGAAGGGCATAGTACGTACTCGCTACAGCGGCATGCAAGCTGGATGAGTCGCAACATGACTACAAAGTCGGAGGTTGCGTCGTCTTTCAAAGCCATTGCGCATCGTTTGGTGAGGTTGGTCAAAGAATCGTCTGCTCGGGCCGCACAACTTTGCGAACCGATTACTGAGACAGTGCCGACGTGCATGGACTTACAGCAGTCCACAACACCCTGAACCGCCAGGTTGCTTGTGAGCTTCGTGAAGAAATTGTGAACAGTGGCCTTCGAGGACTGTGACGGTGCCGTTAGTTGGTCTGATTCCCATACCAGATTCGCGGCGCCCGCATGAGAGAAGTTGAAACCTCCGCGCCAGCACGGCGAGCGGGACCGTCGGCGTAGGACATCTCGGCGATGAGAGGATCGGGGGACTGGATTGCTTTTGTGGCAAGCATACGGTGGTTGAGTAACTCTATGGCGTGACCGCGTCTGCCTGGTTGGTCCAACCGTGCCGGGGCCCGAGGTATCGTCGGCCTGAGTGGTCACTTTTCAGAGTACTGGCATCAAATACTGGACCGCTAATAAAGAAAAGATTAAGCTCACCGGCCCCATTGTCTGCGGTGTTACCATGCTGCACTTCATTCCATAGCCGTCGAGTTTGCGCGCGAGTCTGGCGTTGAGTCGGCACTGAAGACCGAGAAGACCCAGCGGACGTTCCGCTGCCAGGGTCCACTGTACAATGAGACGTTGATCAGTGACGCTGCATCGAAGTCAATTGTTATAAGTACCTGTCTCAATCGGAGGGTTCTTGGGAACATTCGAAACGCCTTGTAATCGTGCCAGCAAGCCTGCCAAGACTTGGTTGAGATGCGTAGTGTTGCTCAGCAGCTGGATCAAACAATTCTGTTCGTCAATAGTGATCCAACAATTGTCGCTGTTGAAACCGGCCATAATCCAAGTAGATGTGAGCTGAGAAAAAAAGCAGTGAGCTAATACTAGATGCTCGGTGTAGCGATACTGACGAGAGGCGCCCAACACTCGTGAGGGCCGAATGAATGCAGTATTTGATTTGAACATCATTCAGAATGAACCACACAATTATATAGACAGCTCAACACAAACTGAGACGATAGGATGGTACAAGCGACAGAACACGACATATACTACACACAGCGATGGAAAGCGATGGAAGACGGAAAACGATGGGACGATGTCAAAGCGACGTGAGAGAATGAGGGCACAACCGATAGATATGTAGACAACAACCGTCCTTCTCCTGACTCCGCATCTAACGCCTAATCCCTCTTCGCCTCGCTCCTCAGAGTACGACCGGTGGCCAGCGAGTAAATGTTGGTGTCGGCGAGAGGTCTCGGCAGCTCAAACGACCTCGCCGAGCCTCCGCTGCGCACTTTCGGTTCTTCATCGTCCGTTGACTCGTCCACAAAATTTTCAGCCTTCAAGCGGCCTGGTACACGACGCGGGGGAGGGGGCGACAGGTTTCGCGGAGGAGTGTTTATGCGTTGTCTCTTTCGAAAGTTCTTGAGCACGTCGGTGTCCCCGTCCTGCTCATGATGGGCCTTCACGCGCTTGAGGCTGTTGAGGATTTGGAGGCATTCCTCGTTTTCCATGGACTTTGTTCGCGGTTTACGATTGTTGTCGGCGCGATACATGTGGCGGCTCACATCGTCGTGGGCCTTCTGCCGAGCGCCGCCCCAGATGTCTTCTATGAAGAAAGGTATGGGGTTGGGAACGGGAGGCTCAGTGAAGTCGGGGGGGTTCAGGAGGAGTCCTTCCAATTCTTTGATGACGTCATCGGCCAATGTCTTATCAGCCTCGCTGAGCAGCGCGCGTATCCTCTGGCTGTGCGCTGCCTCGCGTATGCTGATGGTGGCCTTTACCCACCGACGGAGCACCTGTTGCAGCGACTGCTCAGCCTCCGATCCCGCTTCGTACTCTTCTTGGATTTGCTGACGGTGTCTATGAGCTAAAAGGCGCGTAAAAAAGGAGGTACCACTCACCACAGCTAAACCCCACACGGTCCAGTCGTGAGAATCGTGATGATGGGTTAGGCCGTACTCGAGTTGCTCTTCATCCTCCGGGAGGAAGACAAACCATTTTGCCCTGAGTCTCGGAACGATTACGCGGTCGCCTCGCTTCCAGCCAGTCGACAAGATGTCGTTGGCACCTCCGGCCCCGCGAATGAAACCGCCGTCGTCCGGCACAGCGTCTGGGCTATTCGGATCGGGATCGATGAAGGGCAGACGTTCGATGTCGATGCCGGTGAAGAGCAGAGGGCTCTGGTCAGCGTCGGGTTCTTTCTTCATGGCAACGAGGAGCTATGAGTTCGATTAGATAATGCTTGATGCGGATGGGATGTAACTCTTAACTCACCTGACTAAGCATGTCGTCCTCGCTTTGCGTGAAGGATGTCTCGTTGACGGACACGTCGCGCGACATGAAAATGTCGCCTTCACGAAGGCGCTTGCGCGTGACGACGCTCACCACGATGTCAGGCGTATGCGCTACGTTGTCGGTGATGAGGCCGCGCTCGAGGTCCATGGTGATCGCTTGGGGTCGTTTGACTTGGATGTTGCCGGAAAGCTGACCGAGCACTGAATCGTTTACGCTTTGGTGCAGGCCCGACGGAGAGTGGACCTTGAGTTTTCCCATCTCGGGGTCGTAGACAAAACTGCAGGCAATTGTCAGTCGTGTCAGTCGGATGAGCCATATATTAATGTAAGCATTGAACTTACGATACACAGCGTAGAAGCAGAGGGTGCGTCTCGATGTAAATCTTCGTGGCCTGCCAATCTTCGGGGCTGATATTCTCGCGCACAACGTAGGTGTCGTAGAGTCGAGGAAAATCTGGTTCGTCCTGGAGGTCGCCAAAGATCTTGTCGGCAAGGGTCCAGTGCTTGATCTGGTCGCTCAGGTCTTGTATCTCGTTGTAGGGCTCGTTACCTTCGTGCTCGGGGCCGATCACCGGGTCGGAGAACGTCAGGCCGCTCGCTGAGGAGGGCGGAGAGGAGAGGGGCGCTGACGGCGGTACGTGAGATCACGGTGATGCGTTCCGATAAGGAGTTCAGTACTTACCTTCCGAGTCTGCTGGCCAAGTATAGAAGTGGGTACCCGTAGGGAGAGGCTTTGTCTGTAAGCTGGGGGAGAGATTGTAGTCAGTGACGTGGTCGTCGTCTGAACCGGATGCAACACCGGGAGAGGCGATGTGGGGACCGCTACCCTGAACGTAGCGTAAAGAGGACATTGGTGAATCGTGAGTATGAGGGGACTGACAGGAAGAAGGCGTGTTATGTGACACACGGGATTCGGGATGGGACACCGACAATATTCCCATGGGCGCCACTAGAATCTAGCCACCAAGGCCGGCAGCCCAGTCCCTCATAGAATGCCGGCTTCGTATTGAACACGAGCTCGAGGAAGTCGGCAAGAAGCCTCGCAATTAGACCGTGTATCGTCCAATGACGATACGTCCACGCGTGCGTTCCGTATACCGCTGCCTCCTTGTTGGCTCTGCCAAGGACGGCGATTTGTCCGGCTTATCACCTCAGTTGCGCCAGTGCTGCTCGTGTGCAACTGACAGCTGCGCGCACCCCCCATCTCGGCAAAGGTGGAAGCCCAATCTATGCTCGCACATAACAGTCCTTACAACGCACGCACTGCTCACAGAGTATGCGGCCGGTGCGCGTATTTTCCTTATTGGGGATGATTGCGGCGT